CCTCTACCACCTCCCCAACCTCCTCTTCCTCCTCCCCCTCTACCACCCCCATCTTGTCTCTTCTGCCATGGAGGCATTTCAGGAGGTGGTGGCTCAATTTCTGTTGGTCTCCCTCCACGATCTGGTACCCTTCCCATCAAGACCTGTGAAAGAAAATAGACATGAGCCAATAAAATACTTTGTTCTGGACAGGGGAATCCTACTTAGTCTCTTTATTCCTATAGAAGCAGTAATAGTGTACTTAGTTTTTCACACATGACTTCTCCATTTTGGCTTTATTTATTTTTTTAATAAATCATGACACAGTGTAATATGTTTTGTGGTGGTGTTCATCTGAAGGTTTTATTTACCTAATTTTCAGACCTACTAAGGGCCAGATGATTTTTATTATGCCCTGATATGAAAAATCATAGACTTCAAAGAGGGTATACTTTCTTTTTCACGTGTGTGTGTGTGTGTGTGTGTGTGTGTGCGCGCGCGCACACACACACACACACATTTTCTGCATTAGTTATTTTCTTCTTAGAGATTTGCTTTTGTATGTTTTATTAGTTTGTTCCTATTGTTTTATTATATGTTACCTTATTATAAGTTGCCCAGGGTAGTAACCTAACCACAAGATAGGTAGAATAAAAATTTAAAAATATGAATAAAATAATTTTTAAATTAAATTAAATATTGATGATGTGCAGCTCCAACAACAGGATTTCAGCCAGAGTATAATACCATGTTTCCGCAAAAATAAGACAGGGTCTTATGTAAATTTTTGCTCCAAAAAAACACATTAGGGCTTATTTTCAGGGGATGTTTTAATTTTTTCATGCACAACAATCTACATTTATTCAAATATGGTCATGTCATATTCTTCTGGTTGCTGCACAATGGTGAAAGCCAGGGTTTCACTTAACTGGGGCTTATTTTTGGGGTAGGGCTTATATTATGAGCATCCTGAAAAATCATACTAGGACTTATTTTCAGGTAAGGGCTTGTTTTCGGGGAAACAACCAGAGGTATATATGTATATCCTGTGGATGCAGGTACATCTGTGTCTGTTGAAAACTCAGTGCTCAGAGGATCTCTGCTGGTCACACACCAAGCACTCACATACATCTTGATTACAGGATTACAGTTTTAGCAAGCTTTCTGTATTGGCCCTGTGCCCAGCAGCAGCAGTCGTTCATAGTTTGTTTGTCTGTTTATTTATTTATTTATTTATTTGATTTATATCCCGCCTATCTAGTATATTCTACCACTCTGGGTGGCTTACAGAATATCAAAAACAATTAAAAAACATAAAAACATTAGCATACAACAATAACAAATACTGCAGGAATAAATAAATAATAAACAGCAAAGCAAAAGAAATCAGTAGTTGACAGGAGGGAAGGACTGGATGTCTTGTCTCCTTGTAACATGCAATATAAATATATGTAATTGTTGTACATTATTACGCCCAGAGTGGAACAAAACGATAGACTAATTGGAAACTGTTCTACAATCCCATTAGTTATGATCAAACCACCACCTTCTATTAAAAAACCTCAATTTTGTGGTTTTGGGTACCACAATCACACACACTCTTCTGCAAAAAAGGGTCTGTTTTCTTCAAAGGCTATCATCTTGCTTGGTTAACACTCCTTTTAAAAATGCACTAAGCTGTATTTTACAGGCTTTCTTTCCTCTGGGCTGGTGAAGTCAAAGACAGGCATCAAACAAGCCCTGTAAGTTTTACATTCCTAATTCAGACATGTATGCAGTCAAAATCCACAGATAGGCAGCGTGTTCATTAAGACCTAATGAAATGCCACCAACTGTGCCGGTCAGAAGTTTGGACTCTGTTTTGTCCTCTTGAACCAACATGGCTATTTTTGTACAATGTACAGAGAGTTCACCTGATGCTAAATAACTCCTGTAAGAGACATTTCTTCAAACTCCTTCAAAGAGTACTTTAAAAGCAGAACATCAGTTTGGTACCAGCACCTCAGTCAGGTAAACTACAATTTAAGCAAGGCCCTCCCAATAAATGAGAAGAGGAGCCTGAAGGTTGATGCAGGTGTCTATGTCTCTAACAGGATTTTCATGTAGTTGCTGTAATGTTTCAACAACCTGCCAAAATGCGCAGGATGCCAGAGAGATTCAAATCCTACTCTCTCAGAATAATACCAATCTATCACATTAGGTGTGCCAGGATAAAAAATACACTAAAATTATCAGGCATTTGGACATCGGTCTTCTTATACAGTTATTCAGAAGCACTGGCACAACTGCTAATAATTCAGCTTAGTAGAAAACTCACAGAACTACATGTACATTAAAGGGAATACATACTTTATTGATTGCACAAATGGTCTTTTCTCTTGAAGATCCACTGCTTGTTCTTACAATCTTTGACAAGTCTTCCCGAGCAGCTAGAAGATGAGCTAATGAAACAGATGATTTAGGACACAGTCCATAACGTTTGGGTTGATAAATCTTTGCAATATCATCTGTTCTCACCTAAAAAGAAATTGTTACAGGCACTTTATAATTAGAACAGTGTTGTAAACAATGTGGTAGTGGGGAACTTTATGTTTACTGCATTACATTGTTATTTATTTCAGTGTGTCTCTTGACAGGTACAGTAACAACTATGTTCATGCGATGCTTATTTGCTGCTCTCCTCATATATTCATTATGAACAAAGACAGCTACAGTCCCTTTTAAAAACACTACAGATTTTTTTTCACAGCAATGAGCTGAAGACATTCTGGGGAAAAAGACAGCTCTACTATTCTAAGCTAACATTAGTCCCATTATTCTATGAAAAGAGTATTGCTATTGTTCTAAGTTAAACAAGTAACAAGAAGGAACATGTTAGTCCCCTCACTCATCACTGGTCTTTCCTTAGCCTTCCATAGGTAGAGTAGGACATTCTGAAGAGGAGAATTCGTGCTGTTCACAGCAAGCACCTCTTTGTGTAATTAGCAAAGCTGACCTCTCTGCATTCCAAAAAATACAGAGTGCATCTATGGAGAGAAGAACATCTCCTTTTCAGAAAGTTGCTCTCTGCTTCAGAAGAAAGGTTATCATATTAGGATGCTCTTCCCTCCTTATGTATTTATTTTATAATGACTGGATATTTATTTATTTAGAATATTGTTATCTCACCTTTCTCCTTAAAAGGACCCAAGGTGGCTTAAATTAAAAGGACAATATTTAAAAGCTAAAAACAGTAAATATATATTTTAAAAGAATTAAACAAGTATCATATTAAAATGATAAATAAAATCAATACCAGAAACACATATAAAAGCAACAGAGCGCAATAATCCAATTTGTAAAACCCCTCCTGGACTGCCAATAACTAAGGAAGACAAAAGTCTTTGGCTGTTTGTCGAAGGATAGCAAAGACACAGCCAGCCTTGCTTCCCATGAGAGAGCATTCCAGAGTCTAGGAGCAGCAACAGAGAAGGCCATTTCCTGTGTCCCCATCAAGCATGCCTGTAAAAGTGGAGGGTCCAAGCGAAAGGCCTCACCTGATTATCTTAATGCCCTGGCAGGCTCACAGAAGGACATGTGGTCTTTTTAGACAGCTTGGATCCAAGCTGTTTAGGGCTTCATAGGTAAAAACCAGCACTCTGAATTGTGCCCCGAAATGGATCAGCAGCCATCGGCGCTGCTGTAACAGAGGACTTATATGTTCCCAGTATCCAGCCCCAGTTAACAATCTGGATGCAGCATTGTGCACCCTCTGGAGTTTCTGAACACCTTCCAGAGGCAGCCCCACATAGAGCAGGTTATAGGAATCCAATCGGTTACTACTGAATAGAGCTAGCAGCACCAATTAATGTAGGGAAAAACCTGTTACCGAAATCTTCCTTTTGTACAATATAATATCTACGTATTGGCCAAAATCGTGTTGCTTAGTGTAAGCCAAGTCACAACTTCTTGATCTATTCTTCCCTGGTAAGCACAGCATCCCCGCCATGATTCTCAGGGTACTTGAACACACCAAGCCAGCAGGTGCACCTGTTTCTGCAAACTGCAGCAAGGATTGTTTACCAGGGAAAAGCAGACTGTTTTAAGCAGCAGGATTTTGACCAATGAAATGTGGTTACAAATTTAACATGAGCAATAAAACACTTAGAGAGAACACAGCAGATTCCACTACTAGGATGTAAACAAACACTCACCCCAAACTTACCTTTGCTCTATCCGACCACCCAAAGGACTGTACAGTTACATCTAAGCGCTTCATTAACATGCGACGGCGGCATTCATATTCACTCAGAAGAGCATCATTGATTTTTTCCAGTCTCTCCTACACCATTGGAGCAGAAAACTACTTAGTAGTGGTACAGAACACAGAAATCATAAACAAACAACTACAATATAGTGCTTTTAATTGTTGGTTGTACCAAAATATTAAGCACATGAAGACAACAATAAAATGCTATAGAATATTAAGAATACTAGCTTTTAAAATGTATATATTGTATCATTTTAGACCGCCTTTCTGCCAGCAAGAGGACTCAAGGCAGCTCATTACAGTGGTGCCTCACTTAACGAGCGCACCATTTAACGATGAATCCGCATAGCGATCGCTTTGCGATGATCGGTAAGCATTTTGCTTACCGATTATCGCATAACGATGTTTTAAAAACAGCTGATCAGCAGTTCCAAAATGGCCGCAGGAAACACTGACCGCCCGCAGCATTTTGGCGCCCTTTCCTCGCTTACTGGGCAGCGAAAATGGCGGCCGGATGGAGGATTTCCGCATAGCAGTGAGTTTTCCCCCCATAGGAACGCATTAAACGTGTTTTAATGCGTTCCTATGGGTTTTTTCCCCCGCATAAGGACGAATCTGGATAGCGACGATTTTTTCGGCACGGGTTATCATCGCTATGCGGGGCACCACTGTATGTCAAAATGAGTGACATTAAAAACATAATATATTACAGGTTAAAGAACAATTAAAATACTATGATAATTAAACATCTATTAATTTTAAATCATTTAATTTTAAAAATATATTTCAAAAACAAAAACTAGTTTTGAATTACATTTTGTGATAGATTTTATTCCATGTGGTTTCCCCTCTATTAAAAAGATTGTTGTATGTGTTTGGAATTTTTAAAATCAATTAGGGTATATATTTTTTTCAAACCAAAAGTAAAGTTTGTGCAGAGCACGTTCAGCGTTGACAAAGATACAAGCATAACTGTCACACTGGCTGAACTCCTGATGCTTAGTATATTAAACTACACTAGAGAACACCCACTGAATCAGTGAGGATTTTGTGAGTCTATTCCTTCACAGGGTCTACTGATTCAAATGGGCCTCTTCTAGTTGTGACTTACTAGGCTGAAATAAGCTGCAACTAGAGGAGGCCCATTTGAATCAACAGAACTTATAGAACTGGTTCATCAAAACCTCACTGACTCGATGGGCCTACTCTAGTGTGACTTATTACACTAAGCAAAAGAAGTTCAGCCAATAAATTACAATGGATTATTTTGTACAGCCACTAAAGATGTAAAAGGAAAAGAAAAAGAAAAACATATTTTACCATTTGATCTGGATTCAAAAGAGTTTTTAGGAGAGGTTTGCCCACGTAAGTATCCGGAAGTTTTGATAAAACCTCCTTAAGCTGAAAAAGCAAAGCACAGAATATATTTTAACCTAAAACCAAGTCTTCCACACTTATGACAATCTGACTAATGACACTAACGTATGAAGCTTCCATCAAGCAGTTTAACATCTTGTCTCTCTATAGTCTGACACCCAAATAGTAAATATTTATGTGCAGGGTGAATATCCCCTCATACTCAAGAGAACTGATCTCTCTTGCCAAGTCTCCAGGGACAGAAGAGTCCATGATTACAGTTGGGTCATCCTGCAGCAAAGCAATTTCTTTACTGCTCTGTCGCTAGTGCAAGGAGAAGCTGGATGGTGTCAGAGGACAAGAAAGTGAACAGCACCACTGACACAGGACAAAAAAGAACTGTAATTGCTGCCAGAAGCAAGACCTGCTGCAATCATGAAATCTTCTTCCTGAACTCTTGATTAAACCTCTTCATATGCTGCATCAGAAGGTGTTGTGCAATTAATTTGTTCCATTCTTTTGGCTCCACTCCATTCCATCCACACATAAATGTGGACATACGAGGTAGGGACGTCTGTGCAAACATAGGCCTCAATGCACAAAGTCTTTCTTGGACACTAAAATACTTCCCATTTTAGCTACACATGACATGCCACAACTTATAATAAGTAGTCAAATAGGGGTAGGAAGCCACTAATTTTCCAAGTTCTCTGGATCACAACTCACACTGGCAAAACCTGGGAGGGACCTTTGGGGAGGGCCAGAGTTTCCCCACTACTATAGTGAAGCTTTTTGCCTTACTTTTGAAAAGGAGAAGGTTTGAATGGTGCAGTGTATCAAGGACTCTATGTAAAAGTATGGATTCAAATGTTGAAAGCACAACTTACCTTTGACTCTATATTGCTTAGTAAGACTGGGAGAGGTGATGATGACTTTGGTAGATCCAAAATGTCAGATATCTTTTGGATTTCTTGATGAATTTCATGACTTTTTGATAAATGAGAACCTTTACGTTGTTTTAACTGTGATATCTGCAAGGCCTGAAGTTCTGTGCTTAAAAATACTGAAAAGAGAACAGGTGGAGGAAGAAATACATAAATACTTTTTGAGTTCTCTCTCTCTTTGTGCATGCATGTGCACGTGCACACATGCTGTGTATTTTAATAAGTGAGTAAAATAAATGCTCTGGCCAATCTAGCTGATAGACAAATGTGAAGTCACTCATGAAACAAATACTAAAGAAATTAGAATCAAAGTTAATTTGCAACAGTTACAATTATTTTTAAAAGGAATAATGAAAAATTCATTGGAAAGTATCTTGGTACAACTCCCCTTTTATAAACAATTATCAGTCACTAAATTAAATTAAAATTTCAAGACAATTTAAGAAATCCACGTGCTTTTATCCATCTTCTTCCCAATTTAGGGGAAATAATTGGTTCACTCATAAAGACACGTCTCTCCATCATCACTCAGGAAAAGGTGACCTTAAATTAGGCTGTGCAAATGGCCATCTCCTTGCAATGAGTTGCAGACACAGACACAATATGCAGCTGATTTAACCTATTAAAAAAAAGCTTACAAGAAGCTTTCTCCACCTTTGACATACACAGCTGCACAGAGGAATTTGAGAGTGTGAATCAGCCGTATGGCTTCCCAATATCACAAGCAAATATTTGAATGCACAGAGCATGATGCCTAGGCTTTCTTTATTCCAAGTCTCTCTTTATTCAACTGTTAGCCATGGTACTCTGGAACCAAATTATACTCTGTCATGTACTGGCTGCACACATGATTGCATGCAGGCCCTCAAGGACAAATAGGTCCACCTTTTTTTGCCCTGGAAAGCTAAGAACAACATATAAAAACAGTGAAAAAAGAAACAGTGTCGTAACTTACACAGGACTTTAAGGCAATCTTCTTTCTTTTTTAATCTGTCTTTTATTTCTCCAGATACAAGTGATGAATATGGACAAGCTAGTTCTTTTAAAAAACCACTCATCTCGAATTGTAAACTTTCAACATCATCTCCACCTTTAAAAGAATGGGGGGGTGGGAATACATATGTTAAACTTTTACACCCATTTCGGTTTAGGCGCTGACCTGAAAAACTGATATAGTAATTTGTTCAGATACATTTCACAGAGTAGTTTCAAACATTTATGAAAATAATATAACACAATTTTTTTTGTTAAATTCAATCACACAAAACTCAAGAAATATATATAAAAAGCAGACTATTACTATGTATCAATATTATGTCCTCCACAATAGTCAGCCCATCAAAAGGGCAGAATGAATTTTCATCCTCATGACCAAAAATAGAGGCACAAAGACAGACTTAGAATGTATTTTTAGTTTTGTTTATTTCTTTGGCTTTTTATATTTTACAATACTAAATAATAGTGTAGACAGTAGCATTATCTAACCCAGCGCTTATCAACCTATAACACATGCACATTTAGAATATGGCTGTGATACACAAAAGCAGACTAGTGTGAAATCAGACAACAATGGTTACATGAACAAAACCAAGACGCCAACATCATCATTTTGCTAACAAAATGTTAGCCAGATTTAGAGTCTAACTGCATAGCATGTAGTTCCCATCAACCTCTTCAGATAAACCTTGGCCTAGACTGTAGAACAGCGGTCTCCAACCTTTTTGGGACCGCGGATCGGCTGAGCCTCTGGGGAAGGCGGGGTCGCCCCTCCCCGCATGACCACTCTCGGGCACATGTGTGAAGCGGTGGGGGAGCGTGCATGCGCCCACAAGCATCAGCGTGAGCGCTCCTCCAACCCTTTGCGAATGCGCAGGAGTGCCTGCATGCCCACCCCTTCGCACAGGTGCTCGGGAGCATGCGTGAAAGGGTGGAGGAGCACTCACACCGATGCTGGCACACGTGTGTGTGTGTGCGCTAAGCAGCTGTGGGGAGGGGAGTGCGTGGGGGAGGTGGGAGGTCTGTCTCCGCGGCCCGGTCTGGCTCAGGCCACGGACTGACACTGGGTCACGGTCTGGGGGTTGACAACCTCTGCTCTAGAAGAACCAGTGTTCTTAATTAATCACAGTTGTCATGTTAACAGTATATTTAAAAATTATTTTGAAAATTAGTACTGCAAGTTTATTTCCAAAGCAGAAACATATGTTCACTGGATTTTTATATATGGCTTGATAGTAATAATAATAATTAATAATAATAATTTATTGTCATTGTAAGTATATACACAGTATACCCATACAACGAAATTCACAGACACCTAGAGACCAGACACATGCACACACATAAAATTCCCCAAACACTCCCCACCCACTAAAAGTCCCCCACTAAAAATACAAACATCTACACCGCAGGCCAAGTAACACAGTCACCTATCTAGTCATTACGACCACTCTAGGTGGCTTACAACATAGAATGGCTTGATAGTAATGTATTTGTCACAACCAACCAAGTAAGATTCCAGCAGATTAAAATCAAAGTCATTTGGAAATACCGTTTGTTGAAGAAATGCTTTCTTCCAGGTTACATAAGGGCTGTATTTGAGAACTTAACCAAACACAAAGTTCACAGAAATCTTGGGAAGCCAGACCACTTTCCACAGCTTTATTTAGGGCATCTTCATCTAAAAGAGGACCTTTGTACCTGGAGAAAAATATGGAATATAAAACTATGATCTAGTACAGAAATCAGAAGTGGGACTAAATTAGGGAAAGGAATAATCACTGTTGAATTTATTCAGTTATTCATAAATACTCCTTTATTTTAAAAGGCTCCACATTTGCCCAAATATTTGAAAAATGCATGAGCAAAATGGCTGTAAAATCTTTAATAATTCTGAATGTTTACTTTTTTAAAAAATGTAATGTAAAAAGAACATCACCGTAGAAACTGTTTAGTGACAACAAACCTGTGTAATATGCTGAGAAACATTCTCCTTTGAACATCAACCTCTTAACCATTTTTTGTACTGACAACAATACCTTTTCACTGTTAAGCCATTTGCTCTCTCTATGCCTGCTTTGTTAAATAAATCCAGTCATCTGCATTATTTATTTATATTGACACAAATTTAATTTATAAATCATAGCCGTTTTGACCTCTTAACCTATGGCATAGATTCTGAAATTAAAAACTATTTTTGTTTTTAGATGATGCATAGCTAACACAGGTAGCACATTGTAGTGGTTGGAGTGCTGGAGTGGGGAGATGCAGATTCAAATCCACATTCAGCCGTACAGCTTACTGAGTGACATTGAATCAGCATTATTTCTCAACGTGGACTACACTAAATGGTTGTTGTGGATAAAAGTAGGGAGGAGAATCATGCATATTGCTTTGAACTCTCTGAAGGAAAGAAAGGATGTATCAAGTAAATCAACAAATAAAATCCTTGGGGGGGGAATGTTCTCTGTTACAGAAGCAAGAACACTTTGTTCAAGGCCCTACAGATATCATCAGCTCCAGTCAGTACAGCAAATAGTAAAGGGTTGTAGGAACTGTAACCCAAAACATTGGGGAAGGACTCCAGATGGTGCCTGCAATCTGCAAATCTTTATAATGAAATTAAGATCCTCTAATTTCATTAAGGAGAATCATGCATATTGCTTTGAACTCTCTGAAGGAAAGAAAGGATGCATCAAGTAAATCAACAAATAAAATCCTGGGAGGGAGGGAATGTTCTCTGTTACAGAAGCAGGAACACTTTTTTCAAGGCCCTACAGATGTCATCAGCTCCAGTCAGTACAGCAAATAGTAAAGGGTTGTAGGAACTGTAACCCAAAACATTGGGGAAGGACTCCAGACGGTGCCTGCAATCTGCAAATCTTTATAATGAAATTAAGATCCTCTAATTTCATTAACTGCTTATAGATTTCACTCCTATTATATCTTAGCATATAGCAATAAGGGATTTGAACCCCAGGTCGTGAGCACAGTTTTAGCTGCAGTACAGCGTTTTAACCACTGCGCCACGAGGCTCATACTAATTTCATTAACCACTTATAGATTTCACTCCTATTATATCTTAGCATATAGCAATAATGACTGATTTTATTATTATAGAAATGCATTTGTTTGCGACATGAACTGACTGCCACAAATGCATATCTTTTATGACTATTCATATGAACAATCACATAGAGTTAGATGCAAGTTAACTTCTGGCTCACCTGCTATTTCCTCTACAGAAATGTGAGCAAGCTCACATAAATTCACATGTGGGAAATCTAATGGTGCTGCCATAGACATGATCAACAAGAGCAAAGCACTAACCTAAAACTCAGCCAAACAATAAAGTTAAAGTGCATATACAGTTTGTCCCTACAACATATGTACCAAGAAGCAGCCTGTTATAATCCTTGGCCAACTGCCTTGCATTTTTTCTTTACATGTATTCTCCTCTATTTTTTATTAAATCATTGCTTTATGTCAACTTTTTATAATGGGACTGACATATAAAAATTATGACAAAGACATCATAATGTTTTTCATCCCAAATGGGTGCTTTCCTCCTAACCATGAACCTATAAGCAAATGCAAATAGGCTGTGATACTAAGCAAATTTACTTGAAATTCTTCCAGTGCAATGACATAACAATTAGGCTTGAACTGCCAATGCAGCATTTAATGCACAAACATTTGCACCCATGTTTCCTACAAAAATTGTAACACATGGATGATTTCCTACAAATTTAGTTCCCAGATGCTAGTCTTTTAAAATTTTTGTTCCTCACAAACAAAGTTGGAAGGTAAACTATCAACATGGGAGATGTGAAGTTTGTACAAAATGGCACATAATAAGAACCAAAGACAACAACACAAGAGGTGACTCTATACATGCCAAAATGGCACATAATAAGAACCAAAGACAACAACACAAGAGGTGACTCTATACATGGAAATCACCAGATTTTGAAATCAGATTGATTATATTCTGCAGCCAAAGAAATTTTAAAAATGATTTATTTAAATAATCAAATATGATTTTAAAAAAAATTCAGTAATGATTTAAACTTTGATTTAAATCAAACTCACCCTGCCAGGTACATATCAGTACTTGTAGTCAGTGAGAAACCAAACTATGGCTTTTCAAATGTTTAAAAGGCTTTCATACAGAGGAGGGACAAGATCTGTTTTCGATCATCCCAGAGTGCAAGACAGACAACAATAGGCTCAAGTTAAAGAAGCCAGATTTCAGCTGAATATCAGGGAAAAACTTTCTGTTAGCGCAGTATGACAGTGGAACCAATAACCTCGGGAGCTGGTGAGTGCTCCAACACTGGAGGCATTCAAGCAAAACTGATATGCTTTGATTGTATTCCTGCACTGAGCAAGGGGCTGGACTCGATGGCCTTGTAGGCCCCTTCCAACTTCACTTTTCTATGATTCTATGAACTATAGAAGGCACGTTGAATCAGTGGGAATTTAGTGAGTCAGCTCCTCCCTAAGTTCCACTGATTCAATGGGCTTTCTCTACTGGCGAGTTACTCCTGGATTTTAATTTACATGCAAGAATCAAACGCAAGCGGGATGCACAGAGAAACGTCTAGCAGTTAATCGTGTTTCTTAAATAATGGATACGCATTTTCTTTCTTAGAAAAAAGAAACTTGGCTTCAATAGAACTATTCATGTCCTAATCTTCGTTTCCCCAAGATTTGTGGTGTCCTCGTCAGAAGATAATCCATACTTCCTACCACAGTGTGTGAATAACTCCCCCGCCCGGTACCTGGAAGGGAAACAGGGGACGAAGACACCCCCCCTGCCCGCCCCAGGATTTCAGGAGAAGAGTAAGAAAGTGCTTGGACCCAAGCCGAGGAGGAGTCGGAGGAGGGGGTCCCGGGTGTGTGTGTTAGATCTACTACCTGGTGATAAATTGGGGGGGGGGGACAGACATAAGTATTCCATTTACTTATAGCCCAGAACGTTCTATTAATATGACCCCCAACTACTTCGCCCGCCACCCCTTCCGCCACAAACTGCAAGTCGCTTATCTCACCCCAAAGCCTCGAGCGAATCCAAAATATCGCACTCCATTTTCAGGTCCGAAGCCAGCTCCTTCATTGCCGGTTCGGTGGCGATCTCAGTCCCCTCGCATGGCGGGAGCAAGCCGGTGTTCCTCGCAAACAAACCCGTCTACTCCCCGCTGCCCACTTCCTTTGGTTCCTCCATCCGAAGCGCAAGAGGGGTGTTCCAGCGGCGCGGACGTGCTTTGTCAATTGACGCCACCTCAGATCATTCTCTTTATATAGTACATTTTCCAGCTGCCCATTGACCTACGCTTGCTGGTTACAAATACCCACTATTATTCGTTTTCATTTACACAACTTCCAGTTTCCTAAACTTGGGTGATATATGAGTACAATATTCTGAATAATTTGCCGGAATTTTTATCTCGGATCTAGAGGTTCCCAATAAATTTCTCATATTGAATAAGCCTCTCTTTCAGACTGCAAGTCCCCTCGCCAATAGGACTTGGCGTGAAGTATCACGGGAGTTGCAGTCGAATAACATCTGGAAACATCCAGCTTTTATCCTCTTAAAAGTTAGATTTTACACACATACCAAAGCACTAATGCGTGATATTTAGAAACAATGGAGAGGAGAATATCTTAAATCAACCCCTGTCGGATCAAGCAGCACACGTGTCAGGAAGAATAGCAAGGTTGATCACGTTCCAAGGAAGTAGTTTTTGTTTTCAAGGGACCGCTAGAATTGGTACAAAGATAGTAACGAATGACTGGAACTTGATGTGATTAGAAAGCAAGCTGATTCTGATGCACCTGTGGATTTCGATGCTTTACAGTATTTGTATCAGAACACTATACTATTTAAAATTATGGATGTATATGAAATATAGGTGAAATTGAATACAAGCTGAAATGTTACAATAATAAGATTGTTTTTTACCAGAAGCAGACTATTTCAATAGCGTTATCTTGGCCATTTGGTAGATCGTCTTTAGTATACCTGATGGGGCATAAACTGTATGCAGGTAAGTGCTCCTGTCAATCTAGCAGTTCAAAAGCATGCAAATGCAAGTAGATAAATAGATACCACCACGGTGGGAAGGTAACGGTGTTCCATGTCTAGTCGTGCTGGCCACGTGTTCACGGAAAATGTCTTCGGACAAACACTGGCTCTACGGCTTGGAGATGGGGATGAGCACCAGGCTCTAGAGTCGGACACGACTGGACATTTGTCAAGGGGAACCTTTACCTTTACCTAATTGATTGAATTTCTCCACAGTTACAGAAAATTTGTCCTGTATCCAAGTACTGTAGTACTATTTTACTTGATTATATTTTTTGATCTTACTATTTCACTTTAAACTCTATTAAGAGACTTGTTCTGATGGGAGACACTCTTCAGCCTTCATTCATTAGCTAAGGTTTGTTATTTTTGTTCTCTACAGGCTTAGCGTAACCTGATTTAATATTTATAGCTTGAGATGTGTGCAGAAAAATTGATTTCTCCAGTGACTGTGCCTTCCTTGAAAATTCCAAAGCTGAGTGGTGGGACAGAATTAAATGTAGGACTCCAAGATACAGGGGACAATTGGTGTGACATTTTCCAGATAAAAAGTGGCTTCCAACCTCCTACTGAACTCAGACTGCAATTACATAGCCAAATACCAAGGGATTTGCTGCTGTTATAACACAAGTTGATCTGAATTTCTTTATGACCACATATGACAAAAGGCTGATTTGAATTGGACTGGGTCTTTTTGTTCCTCATGTGGAATTTTCCCCCTGCTGCTGGGGGCTTCAACTTTTTTCAAACTAGAAAAAGTTGAACAGATTTTTCTTCATGTAATATGTTTTATGGCAGGCTATGTAGTATCATTTGTCTTCCAGGTCCAATGAAAGCTACTGCCCCATTTCTCTTATTATAAAAATTGTGGTATGTACTGTATCTATAATACAAGTAGGGAAATTCCTGTGCATTATGAAAGATGCTCCCTTCTCTCCCTTAGGGCCTTGTGCTCACAGATGAGAGTCCATCAAATTCTAGGAGGCAGAGTAAAAAGTTAAAAAAATTGGGGTAGTGAAATGTATAGAGGTAAGAGGGTGGCCCCGATGGAATCTCAGGAAGCACAAATTGCTGTAGAGGTTCTTTGTCCTCTGGCTCCAGGTGTTTCTCTGTATCACGTCTGCTGCCACCGCCATATGCTATGGTGGAGGTACTTCACCCCTGGTAATGTGGCACAGGACTCCACTTTTTGCTGTGTGTTTGTATTGCAGTTTGATGTTGTTTAGTCGTTTAGTCGTGTCCGACTCTTCGTAACCCCATGGGCCAGAGCACGCCAGGCCCTCCTGTCTTCCACTGTCTCCCGGAGTTGGGTTAAATTAATGTTAGTCGTTTCGATGACACTGTCCAATCATCTCATCCTCTGTCGTCCCCTTCTCCTCTTGCCTTCACACTTTCCCAACATCAGTGTCTTTTCCAGGGAGTCTTCTCTTCTCATGAGATGGCCAAAGTATTGAAGCCTCAGCTTCAGGATCTGTCCTTCCAGTGATCACTCAGGGTTCATCTCCTTGCAATCCAGGGGACTCTCAAGAGCCTCCTCCAACACCACAATTCAAAAGCATCAATTTTTCGGTGGTCAGCTTTCTTTATGGTCCAGCTCTCACTTCCGTACATCACTACAGGGAAAACCACAGCTTTGACTATTCGGACTTTTGTTGGCAAGGTGATGTCTCTGCTTTTAAAGATGCTATCGAGGTTTGTCATCACTTTCCTCCCAAGAAGCAGGCGTCTTTTAATTTCAGGGCTGCTGTCACCATCTGCAGCAATCATGGAGCCCAAGAAAGTGAAATCTGTATTGCAATTAGAGAGTACCAAACACTGGTGGAGAATCAGAAGAAAGGGAATAACAACAGAATAACATTAAATTAAAGCATACTATGCAAAACCTTGTCTGTATCAGTGCTGAGGTATTGCAGTGATGCACTAGATTATCTCCACATGGTAATTTTAAAAAAATGTGAGCAAAAAGAAACAACTCAGATTAAATAACAGACATTGCCATGGTATTTGTGTATTTTTATATGCACATACACAGAAGAACTTTGGGATTCTGCTGCCTTTTCCATAACGCGTACAACCCTTTCAAAACTAAGTGGCTTGACAGCGAACCATAAAAGGACTGACATAAGGAGTGTGACAAACCCAGACCTACTGGCACGTACAACCCTTTCAAAACTAAGTGGCTTGACAGCAAACCATAAAAGGACTGACATAAGGAGGACCAGAGGAAGAAAGGAAAGAAAGGGGGCTGTGGGCTAAAATGTCAATCAAATTATATCAAACTGTAAAACTAGTGTGAACTGATACCTAAATCAATCTTCAGCCCCTGTGTGACCACTGACAGCAAATTCAACCAATTTGAAATCAAATTGCAGCAAAGCCAAATTGCCTCGACTCGGCTTGTCAGGTAGTCACTGAATTCTTAGTAAAACTTACTCATGACTGACATGTATACAGTTTTGATTGTAAAGAAAAGAAGACAAAATGGACTTGAAATTGTAAGGTATTTTGTTGGGAGAGCAGGTAGCGTAGAAGTTGTTTCATTCTGTCTTTTGGAAGGGTGGTCTCAATTCACAAGCAGACAACAGAGGCACATCCATCAACACACTTCCTTTTTAACCTAAGAACACATCAAAAACTTTTTGGGCAGAAAGAAAGTGGATTTACGTTTCACCAATGATTTCACAGTTATTATATAATATTGTATGTGAGGCAGTGAGGTATCATGATTTGAGTGCTGGACTAGGATTTGGGACACCTAGGCTGGTTATACATGCCCCTTTTAATTCTCCCGTAATTACTCCTGTTATTTTGTTTTACCCCCTCTCACTCTGGCCAGTGTTTGAGAGTTTTATTTTCTACAACATGTTGGGCTCTGTTTTTACTATATATTTCCAAACATTAACTCTGGAACATAAGAAATGGTGTGTGCTATGCAATGTCAAATTAGAAACCTTTTAATCTGCTTCAATATTTGTATTTATAGATCTGGCCCTAGATTAAACTCTCCTTTTAGCCATAAGGTTTGGGGGTAGCCCTTGGCCAGTTACTATCTCTGTCTCACAGGGTTGCTTGAGAATAAAAAAAATGGGAAGGGCCACCATTCTACAGTACCTTCAGCCCCTCGGAAGAAGGATAGGGTACATGGAGCAAATGTCAGCAATAATAGTAAGTGCCTGCAACCGTCATACTGCTTGCAAAGTTATAAGCACTTATCTGGAAGCTGAGTCATGGCAACTGGACCTCTTTCTTATTAGGTTGAAACATTTCACTATTTGTCCAAGTAGTTTTTTCAGTCTGAGGAGAGTTGGTAGGGGACCCCTCATATATCCTCCACGTTGGTTTCATTTCCCCTGGTCTGAATAGGCTCGTTAGATGCCTCACCCCCAGTCCTTTGCCCATCTAATGAGCCTATTCAGACCAGGGGGAAGTGAAAAGTGGAAGATATATCAGAGGTCTAACTACCAACTCTCCTCAGACTGAAGAAGCTACTTGGATGAGTAGCGAAATGTTTCAACCTAACAAGAAAGAAGTCCAGTTGCCATGATTCAACTTCCAGAAAACTTCATCTGGATGACTGAGATTCTTGACAGTTACAAACAGTTTTTGCAGGCCAAGAGTTTTTGTGTTTTCTTTTACACCTTTGGAAGAAGGGAAGAGTGAGGAAGCAGCTACCCCTTCGTGCTAATTAAAATGATACTGACATAGGATTAAAGTCGAGCAATGCCTGAGAGTGGAGCTCGCTCCCGGCCTGTCCTCAAAAAGCGCCTCCAAGCTGCCAACAACAGCTACCGCCGCCGCCATCTCTTCCAGGGAAGGGGCTCTGTGGCTCTCTTTCTCTCTCGGCACCCCCAGCACCAGCCCGGCCAGCGGCCGCCTCAGCACCCAGCGTTGCTTCCTCCTCCTCCTCTTTGTCCTGCTTCAGCCACCTCGGCCCTGGAGTTGCTCCTGTGTCGTGGTAGGAGTAGCTGCTGCTGCTGACTGCACCTTTTTTGAGGGGGCCCTCAGATGAAGGTTGCTGGACCCATGTGTGTGTGTGTGTGTGTTTATCTGCGTGCACCCGCGCGCACCTGTGGGTTCTGTTTATTTATTTATTTATTTATTCAATTTTTACCCCGCCCCTCTAGACAACGTCTACTCGGGGCGG